AGCAATAGTGAATGATTATCTTCAGAGTAAGAACAACTTCTTCCATTTTGCTCTATGAGAATCAGAGAATATGAGAATATTATTGACAATCAAATCAATTCAGTACTCAGCGAGAGTACAGATACTCTTTCAGAAGTATCAATCGTATCATAAGTACCATTATTTAGCATCAGCTTAAAAGAAGCCCAAGCAAACCTCAATCTAAGCCTAAGCTAACTGGGTAAGCTTCAGTCACATCGAATTCAAACAAACTCCAAAATATCGATTTGAGTCCGAACGTATCTTAGCGATTGATAGACTCGACTCATGTATTTTGAATATGTCGTTAATGAAATGCGATAAAAAGTAAATAATTCAGAATATTCAACAATAATCATTATAATTCAGTGAATTTAAGTGAATGCGAATGCTTCAAAACGATCACAAACGGATGAAATACTTCTAAAATAATACCAACTTCCATATAGTCATCTCGCACTTCGTTATCATTAAAGAATCGTGAACGCTGATCTTCGAACTCATTTGCTGCTTGTATACAGGCAAACACAAAACCTCTTGTGAAATGAATTTTTGTTATTGGATATCGATCCAAATCGATCAATGTCTTTGATAAATCCTTAATCGTATTATCAATAAGGATGATAAGAGTTAATAATAACAATGGATTATGATAATAATAATAATGGTAATAATGATCGCAATAATAATGATGAAAATAATAATAGTGATAATAATAATAATAACAATAATAATAACCTTATAACCACAAACATCATATAAAAACATACTACCAGCAGTATGCGAATTGACCCGTTCATAATAAGCTTGAGTTGAAGTGACCGCATCACCATTGCGGTATCTAAAGAAAAACGTTTCAAAATATGGATTATGAAGCACCTGATTGTAAGTCAAGACAAATAAGTGATCATTATGATTACATTGAATTCAATGAGTTAGTTGTGCCCAATGATAATGGTATATCGCTATTAGATCGATATGTTTATGAAAATCACTTCAGATGATCTTCAATAAACGTTTTGCGTTTTTTGAAAAAGATACTCTTGACTGGTGTCTTTGTGTAAGAAGTTCGCGAAAAATAGGAACCTCAGGTGCACATTCAATGGAATACTTTCAAATATTTCATGACTATCTGACTTGAACAGTCACTGTCTTAATCGTAAATTGAATAGTCACCAACCTCGTGACCTGCCTTGTTCTCCTCACGTAATGGTAGCAAATGCTCTTCCACCAGACAATCGGTGCAGCCTCTCGCATCTTCTCGATATACTCTAATGCTTCCAAATGATGCACCTAAATTTTGGTAACTTCAGACACTCGAAACACAACAGTAATAATTTCAATTTTTATCTGTTTTCTGCCATATTGAATTCAACTTTTTGCCGTAATTTTACTAAATCTTAACTGCTCAAGAGATTAGCAGTTCCGCAATTGATTCATATGAACAATTCAACAAGAATGTTCACTTATGATTCCATTCCAATACGAATTCTGTGATGATTTTACTTCAACTCAATTGCATTTTGCATCCTTACAGAGCGATTGAAATGTGATTTTTAAGAAAAATCGCCATTGCATCTCGCTCAGCTCGGATGATTTCAATTCATGAGTTCAATTTATTTGTATGATCGACAGAGATGTAATACTTGATCGATGGAATTTACATTGATCAAACTGATCAAATGACAATTTGATGAGACTGAGAATCAATCATCACTTCATCTATCCAGTTAGCTCACGGATACTTCAAAATGACAATTTATGGACGTTGAATACGTTGTATTTGGAGCGTAAGTATGTAAAATCGAATGCTTGCCAAAGCTAACTTCTGTAGTGTACCTTTTTAATTTTGGAAATTTTAACACGATTATGCCAACATTCCATAATGTAAACGGCATACAGCATAATACCGAACGCGATCGGTATGAAATTATATCCTTGAGCGCACGGTCCATGAGAATAGCTGAAAGCTCACAGCTGAAATAGTTAGTCTGAAAAAATGCAAGAGAAAAAGATCACTGAAAAATGTTTTGGATTGTTCGGTCGTATAGAATTCATTTATTTTGCATGATTCGAATTTTGAAATTGCAATTGAACACATAGATTGAAATGAAAACGAACGTGAAAGGGATGTGTGCGGAGTAAGCGTAATGACTTAAATGACACCAAACCGCATAACAAACACACAAATGTACAAGCAATGTGCTGATCAAGCATTTCCAGTAGAATTCATAACGTAACGCACCAAGCAGTGAACGTCGTGTTGGAATTTGCTAAAATTTCATTCACAACAAATTTTCGTAAACTCTTCAAAATCATTCGCAACCAGTCAAAATTGGTTTTGCCAAAAAATCAAACTTGACTTCAAGATGACTAGAGTTGGACTTGGGTACCGTCCGTTCACAATAATAAATGTCGTTTTTTTTTATAAATCCTCAGTTTTTTATGCCGTTCAAGATAACGTTTCACATCCCAGTTTAAACACTCACTGCTAGCTCAACAGTGAGGCAGGTTTGTTACGTAACGATCATCCATGGTAGTGTCATAAGGTTTTGCTAGATTCCCTTAAGCTTTATGAAACGTGCTAGTGGCTTGTGGAGCGGGCAGTGATCCGATTCGATGTTATTGTCATGGAATGAGTGTTATTTTTTGTTATTTGATTGCTATTTTTTATTTATTTAATCAGCAAATCAAACTCATTACGAGTTTATGCCTCTCTCTTATCACCAATATCACTAATATCACATTCTTCCTTCGTTGGCATTCTTCTTTTCAAGCAGCTAACGATAATAGCGTTTGCAATCATCTGTCTTCATGAAATTCGAACTTGGATTATTGATCTGGCAAGCACAGAGGTTTTGGGC